AACAGATTTTCCCAAGGAAGAAAGATTAGGAAGGGGAAAGGCTAACAGGGGTAGGGTGCAAAGAGCCATTGTGCTTGGAAGGCCATTTCCTCCCAGTCCTAATCAGCAATGAGGGGCCTGATGTTGAATGTGAGGCCTGGAAATTGGAATAAGGGGCCTGCGCAGGCTGTGTTGCATTTCCATTCAGGGAATCCCATAGCCTCCCACTGAAGGAAATTAGGGTTCGTGGCAATCTATAAAGTCTGTGCTATGACTCATTTGTAACAAGTCTCTCTGCTGCAGGGTGCATTTTGTTTTCCCATGGCCAGGTCAGTAAAGAAGAAGGAGCCACAGAAACAGAACTAGACTCAAAACCTGCAGACCTGGGCCTAATCTAGCCCCAACTCAAAATTATTCTGACCCACATTCCTCCTTGCTGCCTCTTACTCTTCTCCAACCCCATGTTTCAACATCCTCCAGTATTCACCAGCTGTATACACACAGCCACATATACTTAGCCCTAACTTCATACCTTAGCTTTCATGTACATTGCCTCACCTGTCACAGCTTTGTCACTTCCATTCTGTTTACTGAGACATAATTAACCACTTTTATGTGTACAATCCAGTGAGTTTTACTATGTTCACAAATCTGTACAACCATCATCACTAATTCCAGAGCATTTTCAACCACCTGAAAGAAATTTCATGTCTATTAGCAGCCACTCCTGATTTTCCTCTCCCCACGTTCCCTGTCAACCATCAGTCTACATTCTATCTATTGGAGTGTGTCCATTTTGGGTGTCTCACACAGACAGAATCACAGTTTATGGTACTGTGTGTCACTCCTATTTTATACAAGAATCCACAACTCAAACAGGTTAAATAACTTGCCCAAGTCACAAAGTTAATAAGTGAATGTTTGGGCTTGCTTTTGATGGCTGTATGCTGCTTCTATACGGTAAGGAAATTAAGAAAGACAAAGTCAGCCAGGTGCAGTGACGCCTGTAATCCCAGCTACTTGGAAGGCTGGGCCAGGAAGATCAAAAGTTTTGGTCCAGCCTGCCAACTTAGCAAGACCCTGTCTCAAAAAGATTAAAAAAAGAAAAAAGAAAAAATAAAGGAGAGAGAAAGAAAGTCTTAGCTATACTTGGAAAAATGAAGTTTCATTAATCTGAATTTTTAAAAAATTTAAAAGTCACAATTATAGCAGCATCTCTACTGAGCTTGTATGGAAATGCATGGGCAGCTCTTCTAAACAAAATGTGACAAATCCCTCAAAAGCACACCCATCCCATCTGGTGCTGTTTCACCCCTTGCCCAGCTTCTTGGCACCCTCAGCCCCACAAGGATGAAAGTAGGCTTCAAAGAATCTCTTCCCTCCCAATGTTTTGTTTCTTCCCCAAATGTCACCCTGCCACTTAAGCTTTACTCCTCAAATTTCTATGATGTATATTCTAAATAAGTACACGAGTGTTTTTCCCTTTTGAATTCTGGCCCTCGGTTTCTACTACAAGGCATGATGAGAGAAAGTTGAAGACTGTTGTCACACGTAGCTGTCAGCTAACCAAGGGCAAAGAACTATAAAAACCTAACAATTACAACTCACATAAAATGCCTATAACCTAGCCACACCATAGCTGTTTTTTCCTGTTTTATGTATTGCATATGTATAAAGTTTAGATTAGATTAGGTATTTATAGCAGACAAAGTTCAGGTCCTCCTAGTTCTTTTTATCCATCATCCAACAGAAACAAAAGGTGTACTATTATGATAATAATTGTAATTATTTTTTCTTAAAAGAAAGGCATAGAAAGGAAGAACAGATCTCCACTAGCGCTGGGCCAAAAGCAATGTTTACTCTATCCAGTGTACACAGCCCACTGACTACTGTACAAACCCCACTGTGCACACACTCCAGTGTACACACTGACTAGCGCACAAAAGGCACTCAAGACTCTACCACATAATAGCTAATACTTACCGGGCCCACCAGGTACTGTTTTAAACACATACACGTATTAGCTCCCAGCCATCCTACAGGTAAGTACTATACAACTGCTGTCTCCACATGAGCCAGTGGTACAGGTCATTCAGTCAGCAGAGGGTGGGACTGGGATTGAAGGGAGGCAGCACAAATGACAGAGTTCCAACCAGACACAGTGGAGTCACAATGTCTTAAAACTGAGAGGCTTCTGACAAACTGTAATAACAGAAGCTGTACTGTATCATAAAACAAAAATATTTTTCCCTCTTCTACTTTTAAATACTCCAACTTGCCCTTCTTCAGAAGGGCTCAAAGTCTTTATCTCATTACTGTGGAACCCTTTAACCAAAAAATAATAATAAAACAAATTTTTAAAAAATTTGAAAACAGAGGTGGTCTCATCCCTTGCATTGACGTGAAAAGAAGGCCAAGAATTTGGGCAGCAGAACTGAATCAAGGAAACTTACTCCTAATTCAGTTTTCTTTATACAAACCAAGCCACTCTTTAAAAAGATCACTTTAGAATTCCATCACTTTTTAAAATTCTAAAATATCACATGCATATATATTTTCTACACTGTCCTGAGTGAATATAAAACAATCAAAATTAAGATGGAAGTATTATTATGGGTTTCTTCCCACACATTGTGGTTGAAAATGAAACAAAAATGTTCAGTATTATATGGTACTACAAATGTTAATATAAAGAAGCCAGACATAGTGGTGCATGCCTGTAATCCTAGCACTTGGGAGGCTGAGGCAGGAGGACTGGGATAGTTGGAGTCCAACCTGGGCTACATACTGAGTTCAAGGTCAGCCTGAATTACATAATGAGATTCCATCTCAAAAAACCAACTAAATAGTACATAAAGAGACATGAAAATTGCCCACTATTGTTGCCATCCTTATAGTCCAATAATTTCAAATTTATAGTTAGCCCCTAATCTTCAATTGCTCAAACACCATACTGCATCAAATCTAGAAGCACAATTCCATTCTTCAACTTTCTCAAGGTTTGTTAGGTTAAGAATTGAGTGTGCCTTTCCTCAACATTCCAAGTTTCTATTAATGAGAAACCAAGGTTCTAAAAGAAATGAGACTATCTTTGAATGACTTTGACCATATTACAAAGACAGCCTGTAAAAGGAGAAAACAAGGGCTAGTTATCTTTTAAAGAGTAGTTTCTACTAACATGATTACCTGAATAGCTGGGACGATGGCACCCCTAAAATACACATACCGATTTTCCCTAGTGCATGTTTGCCCCACAAAACAAAACCCTGCACTGACAGGAAGGGAAGCATTTTACTGAACAAGATCAAATTGTTCTCAATCCCATCATCCGCACCATGCTGTGTTTTTACCTGGGAAGGACAGAGTTCTGAGAGTGCAGAGAATTAAATACACAAAGGTAAGTTCATAATGCAGTCAACCAGAAAAGCCAATGTTGCAAAATACAAAGGTGCACTTGTATTTCTCAAGGTGGCTTTTAAAGAATAAAGATGAGAGCTAAGCAAGATGCCTTGGAAACTGCCACCCCTCTAAGGTGACTCTATTCTCCAGTTTCTTTGTATAGGACACACTCTAAAATAATTGTTTAAAATCAGGTACCAACAGAGAGCTTTTTAAGAAAAGTTATGAGAAAAACTTCAGATCAGAAAAAGTTGCTAGAAAGCGTTGCTCCATCCCTCTGGGGCTCTCCTTGAAAACATTGGCCCTTCCTACCGGCTGTTTTCAGGCAGCCTAAGAAATCAATACCCTCTACAAGTCCATTTCTAGAACAGCGGATCTCTGGACAGACAATGTCAAAACCACAACTTCAGAAAAGCTAGTCATCACCCTAATCCCCTGAGGTAAAATAGGAATTTTTTAATTGTTACTTAGGCCAACTAACTGGAATGGTATCGTGTAGGACCCTATCAGAATCTTACAAGCTCATTTTTATCACCACTACTGGAATCTCAAGTTTAAGATATTCAGTATACAGCTTGGAGAATACGAGGTCCACACACAAACTTCAAACAATCTATTCAATCTGCAACCTCAAATTTGCTGTCAGTGACTAAACTGACTGACGCTTCTGAAAGTGTTTCAGATCCCTGCTTCGGAATCTGTCTTTTCAAGCTAGATTCTTAGACCCCCCCACCAACATTCTCAAACAGAATCTGCATGAGAGCTGAGACAAGGCGTTTTAAATCAGCTCCTGGGGCAATTTTAAGAATCCACCGACATTTTTGCTGTGTTGTCCCTTTTCTCTTCCAAACTATATTCTAATAGGCATACGGTAGTTACTAAATTCTCCAGTTCTTCCCGGATAGCGCTTAAAAGAAAACAAGGTAGACACTGGCGACCATGCATGATTTTAGGTGGTTTGGGGCCTCTGGCACATCCTAGATAGAATTTTGTCAAGGAGGACCACAGCTGCTAGTTCTTCCAGGGCTCGGAACCAACATGATCCCTTCCCTCTGACTTCTTCACCATAAGCAGCATCTCGGGGCAATGCCCTGCCACCCATCAGATACATTTCCGTTGCTGCTCCCAATCCTGTTTAAGGTACATTCCTGCTTCGCAGAACTGACTCGCGATTGGTGTACAGCCTTTTACTCACTGAAACACACACGTACAGGTCCCGCTACAGTGCCAAGGCTGAGGAATCAGAAACCCTGCCCTCCATCCCTCCCTCCATCCCTCCACTGAGGCGCGGACCACAACTGCCCTGCCCCACCTCAACTCAGAGCAACTTTCCCACTCGCGGGTTGGCCCCCGCCCTCCCCGAAAGCGGCCCTCCCCAGTCCCGCCCGCGCCGGCCCGGTACCCCGGTCCTGGCTCCTGCGCCGGGCCCCTCGGCCCCAGACCCTGGCCGAGGCTCCGGCGCCCCCGCCTCGAGGGACGCCTTCCCCCCTCCGCGGCATCTCGCACCCGCCGGGCCACGCGGCGCGCCGGCCCCTCTGCGCGCCTTCCCGGGGTTGTTTTGCAGGAGCAGGGGTGCGGTCCGCCCTCCCATTTCCCTCCGTGCCCGGGCCTGTCATCCTTACCCGCCGGCAGGCCCATTTCGGCGACATCGCCAGTAGCGTCGGGCTCGGCCCCGCCGCAGCCCGCGGGGAAGGAGGGACAGCTATGGTTGTGGGAGCACTTAATGTCGCGGAAGAACTTCTGGGTTTCGCGCAGGTTCTGCCTCAGACGGCCCAGGTAGCGGCGGTAGCGACCGAAGCCCCGGCACAGCTCGCGGATCATTCCGCCGCCGCCGGGGCCAGGACCCGACACGGGCTCGCTGCCCCACGGCGGCGCGTCGCCCTCCATCTCCGCAGCCCGCTGTCTCCGCGGCCTGGTGCTGGCCGCTGGCCCGGCCCCCTCCTTCCCGCCCCCCAGTGCTGAAGGGAGGTGGATTCCGCCTCCTCACGCCCACGCCTGCAGTCCGCTCGGCTTCCAGTCTCGTCACTGCTCTTGCAAACAAGCTGACGCGCAGCGCGCCGCACACGGAACCTTTCCCTCCGCTCCGAGGAGGGAGTGGGAAGAATCAGGAAGGCACCGGTCCCGCGCGGTCTCTTGGGACTTGTAGTTTAGGCAGGGACCTCGCGCCTGAACCCCGAGGCTCGCGAGTCTGTGGGTGTGACTGATCCCCTTTTCATTAAAACCTCACCTGTTCTTGTTTATACACGCTCTCCTTGTTTAGAAAGTGTGTCCCTAAACCGGACGTGGTGGTGCACGCCAGTAAACCCAGCATTCTCGGGGGCTGAGGAAGGAGGATCTCAAGTTCGATTCCCATCTGGGGAAATTGAGAGACTGTCTCTCAAAATTTAAAAATAAAAAGGGGTAGGGATATAGCTCCGTGCGAAGGCCCTGGGCTTACTCTCCAGTACCACACACAATAATACATAAAATTAAAACGCTCCCTACACGAGTGTCCCTGAGGAGAGGAAGGAGCTGGGAACCCAGACCTCAGCAGAAATGGGGTGTTTTACAGAAATCAGAGCGAAAGATTTTAATAGCGGAGAAAAGGAAGGAAGCAAGACCGAGGCCAGTAAGAGCTCCATGGTTACCCTAAATAACGCGGTTTGTAGACACAGCGAATACTGGAGAATCAGCTGAAAATACCTTGGGGATCGTGAAATCGCTTAATATTGTGTTACTTTCTCCTTTTCCGACTTTCTTTCTCCAGATGTGGGAGGGAGGGTGAGTAAAAGAGTCGATATGACCCATAAACTGAGGTACAGTTGGTTTCTTGGAGGAAGGAGACCGGGCGGGTAAGGGGAAGCTGAGGTTTGTAGCCTTCCGAACCATTTCTGATTATCTTAACTCGGTTTCTGCCAATGCTCAAGATTTCCATTGACTGTCACGGACTCCTGGACACAATTACTACGACGTGAGCAAAACTTCACGCAAACTACCTTTTTTGCTTCTTCCCATTTTCTCTCCCCTCTTCATCAGGCACAAAGCCCCATCTATGTTTTTCTCTGGTGGAAAGACCTCATCTCTTACCCAGGACAGATTTCTTCTTTGAGAGGCTAAATGGTGTCTTTACTCAAATGAATTGAAGAGGAGATTTGAGTTTGGCCCTGGACCCACACCAGCACTCTCATCTCCAAGCCTTGCCTGTAACCCCAGGCAAGATCCCACTCACCATCTATGAAGTGAGCTTTGGACTAGTTCATCTTTTCCTCTCTATGAGCCCTGATTCCAAAAATTGTACTTCTGTCTCATCTCTGATCGAATCCTGAGTGCAAGTGCCCTCAAGTTATCAAGTCATGATATTCGGATAGATTCAGTGTAATATGTGAAGGCGTTCTCGTTCCTGGGACTTTTAGCATATTTTAGAAATGGGTCAACAATTCGAAAGAGTCTGCGCTAGGTAACTGTGACGACTGGCTGTAAGGAGGAAGCCTTAGGTTCCTTCCCATTTACTTCCTCCGTTAGTTGGTCACATATTCTCCCCTGGATATTCCTCCTCTTTGCAAGGTGGTATTCCCTGTACAAACACACACACACACACACACACACACACACAGATCCCAAAGCTCAGTAAAGCAGAACGAAAAATACAAAAGGGGAATTTAATGTAACATAGTTTGTACAATTTCTAAAACTATAAGAGATGCAGCAAAGTAATATGTAATGGTCACACATGATGATTTCCAGAAAAAGGAGATCAGATGAGAGACCATGCAGTCTGGAGTTGTCTAGAAAAGCAATCTACCTTAAAGGCAGGGCATATTTTGGATAGATGAAGTAATTAGAGAGGGCATTATTTCAGGATTTGTTTTGAAAGCTCTCCATTGATTGATCTTTAGGATTTTTGCAGTCTTTTAGCATTACAAACAATGCTTCAGGAAATACCTTTTTATAAACATCATTTTGAAAATATCTCTCTCTCTCTCTCTCTCTCTCTCTCTCTTTCTCTCTCTCTGTGTGTGTGTGTGTGTGTGTGTGTGTGTGTGTGTACTGGGGAATGAATTCAGGGTCTTCTTGCTGAGCTGTATCTCCAGCCCATTTTTTACTTTTTGATTCTGAGACAAGGTTTTCACTAAATCACCAAGGTTGAGCTCAAACCTGTGATCCTCTTGCCTCAGCCTCTTAAAGTTCTGGGATTGTGGGCCACCACAAGGAGTTCACTCCTATTTTTTTAATCTGCTGAAGAAAAGGATAAGTTTTGTATTTAAAAATCAAAGGATATGACAATGAGTTCTTAAATCACAATAACCTACCAGCAAAAATACATATTTTATTCAAATATATAATTCAAAGGACAAATTAAGGAATTAGGGATTCGAATGGTAAGAGGAGAGGCTCTAAATTAGTGTAGGAAAATCCCCAAAAGTGATGAGAACTAAACATGCATTGAAGATAAACATGCTTTACTCCCTCCTAAATCACCATTAAAATGAGAGTAAGAGATTTTTATAAAACATAAAGTTACAATAATGAGAGTAACCAAAAATAAGAAAGAGAGAGTAACCAATAGAAAAGAAAATCAGTGGGAGTTAGAAAGTAAAAGGATGGTACTAAGTTATCAGCCTGATAAACCTGAATCCTAAACACAAAGTGGGAAAGCTGAGACCAGGCCTGCGTAATACAGCAGAAGCCTGACACATGAGGAATCGGCAGCAATAGCCCCCCTACACACACTGTGGAAGTATAGGAGCTGCCACTTGCAGGTAGTGAGAACCCTGAGCAGGAAACAAAACAAGGCTTTTGAGAATATTTTCAAACCACTGAAATCCTTAGTTTCCCTTAACCCACCCCACCTCCCAGGAAGACTGAAATATTTATTCTTCAAAGAGGGTTAAGTAGGAGCTCTCTGTATCAACAAAAAAGCAGGTGAATATATGGAGGTAAGAATTCCGAAAATCTACTCGCAAAGAGGAAGCTTGAAGCATCTCCTTGAAGGAATCTGACCAGGCCAAGGTTAAAGACTCAAAAGACACTGACATCAGAACAGAGATTTTTGGGGCTGGGGATTTAGCTCAGCGGCAAAAGCGCCTGCCTGGTAAGCGCAAGGTCGTGAGTTCGGTTCCCGATACCGGAGAAAAGCCAAAACAACAACAACAACAACAACAACAACAAAAAAAAAGAACAGAGATTTCAGGGCAGGAGGAGGAGAGGGCAGAATCTGGCTTATTCACAGCAGTCTCTGCTGCAATTCCTAAGTCATCCCAGAGGTGTTCATTACATGTTTGTTAAATGAATAAGCACTCACTGTAGACAGACAAAAGGAGAAATTAAAAACCACTCATATTTCTACTATCTAGAAAGAACTGGTAGATTATATTTGTATCTATTAATGTTGTCACCAGAGAAAGAAACATAATGGTCTTTCTAATTTTACTTTTTTATTGCAAGTTCTTCTTGCCTAGATGATTTCTAAAGAGATTCCTGGTGGAAATAGGGTGCCTTTTGAAGGTCACCAAAATTCATTAATATTTAATTTTTCATGTACATTAAGAACAAGATTATACACAGAAAGCACGAGTATTCTCTACTAGACAGCAGGAAATCATAAACAAATCCAGGAATTACAAAATTCACAAATTAGGAGATGGAGGTATAGTTTGGGGTAGCACTTGCCTAGCATGTAAGAAGCCCTGAGTCTGAGCCCCAGGGTCACAAAACAAATAAAAAATGTTTAAAATGCCACAAATTGGGGCTGGGGGTTTAGCTCAGTGGCACAGCGCCTGCCTGGCAAGTGCAAGGTCATGAGTTCGATTCCCAGTACCGGAAAAAAAAAAACATATTGTTTATAATGATTCAGTATAATACAATAAATAATACAGGGGCTGGGGATTTAGCTCAGTGACACAGCACCTGCCTGGCAAGCGCAAGGTCATAAGTTCGATTCCCGGTACTGGAAAAAAACCAAAAAAACAAAACAAACAAACAAACAAACAAAAATGCCACAAATTGAAGAAAAAAATGCAACAAACAATTACGTATTTTGGATTTTTTCAGAGGTATTTCTTCACTACTTAGTCAATTGTCACCTTTTAAAGTTAACAGATACCTGAAATTGGGCTCAGAAGAAAAGGAAAAATTATAGAAGAAAGATAAAAAAATGCATTTCATTTCTTAATTTTTCCTAGAAATTAAGACAAGATCAGCATTATCAAATTTACCAGAGGAACATATCTTTTTCCTGCTGAGTACTGATTTCCAAGGGAACATCCCTGAGAATCCCTGGATCTAGATTGCTCAGGGCAATCTTGCTTTCTTTTGTCTATCTGTCCATTGCTGGCAGTGTTACATAACAGTGCTTCTTGAACTTTAATGTGCACATGGAGATCTTGATAAAACACATGTCTGATTCAGAAATTCTGCAGTGGCCCTTGAGATTCCCTTTTTCTAACAAGCCCCCAAGGTAGTACCAGTACTGCTCCTCTGTGGACCACACTTTGAGCAGCAAGGATGTAAGGAAATAGTACAAGAGTCAGCAAACCCTCCTGACTGAGGAAGTGGGTTTTGCAGTCCCACTTGAACTTGTATTCACATCCTAGCTCCACCCCTACCCATTTGGATGTCCGTGGAGACATGTTTTATTTTCTCTGATTCGTGCTTCCTCATTTGTAAGATGGGGATAATAGTACTTCTTTATAGGGTTATTGTGAATATTAAAAGAATTGCCAATTGATCTCAAATTAGGTCAAAATAACTTTTTTGTTTCTTTCCTTCTTTCCTTCTTTTTTTGTATTAGGTATCAAAATCAGGGTCTCGTGCATACTAGACTCTGTCACTGAGCTACACTCCCAGCCCAAGATTTTTCATTGTTGGTTTGTTTTGTTTTGGTTTGGTTTGGTTTAGAGCAATGTGTTAACTTTGCTGTAACTAAATACCTGAAAAAATTAACTTAAAGGAGCAAAAGTTTATTTTGGCTCATGCACTCCAAGATTTCTGCCCATGGTCACTGGGCTTCATTGTTTACGGCCTGTGGTGAGGCAGAACGTTATGGTGGAGGATGGATGGGGGAGCAAAGCTGCTCACCTTGTGTCAACCAGGAGGCA